GATTGGGATGGGAGGCAGTGTTTTTTGGGTAAATCTGTGTTCGTTTTTGTTTTTGGTAACAAGAGGGGCTAAGAGCCCAAACGGTTTGTTTTTGTGTTTCGATTACTTTTTTAAATTTTTTATTATTTTATTAATGTATTTATCTGATTTAATTTTAAAAAAAAATTAATTTAAACAAAAGAGAAAAGTTTTATTAATTTTTAAGTTAATCTCAGCCAAAAAAAAAAGCCATGTGGGTGGTGGGATTCAATTTTTTCAATTTTCTTAAGTTTTATAATAGTTTCTTTTAATTTTAAATTATTTATTAATATTTTAATTCATATAGATAGTTTTAACCCTCAGTTTAATGGCAATATTAATTGCCTTTAATAATGGGACCATTTTGATACTAAATGGAGAGTTGACGCACTATTGAAATGAAAATTTTAGTTAATAAACTAAAATAATACTAGACTAATAGTTGACGGACCATCTCGGTTAACAAACCAATTCTCAAATTTTATTGAACAAATACAGAACAGATCAACCTTATTTTATTGAAAAAATTCTCAGCTTTTTAGTTTAAGTCGGCTATCTACTCTTTTTGTTTTTTGGGTCAACGGCTATCTACCCTGTTCAGTTGGGTTGTTTCTCCACTGAAGTTCACTTCCAAGAACTCTCACATGCACCATCTCCCAAGAGTCAGAGCTCTCTTTCTGCTAAACCTCAAGCTAAAATCCACCCACCAACTCAAACGAACCCATGCCCAGTTGATTACCAGTGGCCTCCTCAAATCGCCCACCCTTTATGCCAAACTAATTCAGCAATACTGTGCCTTATCAGACCCACAAAGCACCAACCTTTATGCCCATTTTGTATTCAAACACTTTGATGAGCCAAACTTGTTCCTCTTAAACACTTTGATAAGATGTTCTCAACCCAAAGACTCTATTCTTGTTTTTGCCAATTGGGTATCTAAAGCAACCTTATTTTTTGATGATTTTACCTACAAGTTTGTTCTTGGAGCTTGTGCTAGGTTGCCTTCAGTGTCAACATTATTAGCAGGCAGCCAAATACATGCCCGGATCATGAAACATGATGTCGTATCAAACATTTTGGTGCAAACTACACTGGTACATTTTTATGCTAGTAATAAAGATTTTGTTTCTGCACGGAGGGTGTTTGATGAAATGGCTGTGAAAAATAGCGTTACGTGGAATGCAATGATCACGGGGTATTGTTCACAAAGAGAAAGTGCTCGTGATGCATTAGTGTTGTTTCGAGACATGTTGGATGATGTTTCTGGTGTGAAACCTACTGATACTACAATGGTTTGTGTTCTTTCTGCGGCTTCTCAGTTGGGTGTGTTGGAAACTGGTGCTTGTGTACATGGTTATATTGAGAAGACAATATGGGTTCCTCATAATGATGTGTTTATAGGCACTGGTCTTGTTGATATGTACTCAAAATGTGGATGTGTTGATGGTGCTCTGTCCATTTTTAAGCGAATGAAAGAGAAGAATATCTTGACTTGGACAGCAATGGCAACCGGGCTAGCCATTCATGGTAAGGGAAATGAAGCATTGGAGCTTTTGGATGTAATGGAGGCTTATGGAATAAAACCCAATGCAGTGACTTTTACCAGCTTGCTTTCGGCTTGTTGCCACTCGGGGCTTGTTGAAGAAGGCCTCCATTTGTTCCATATGATGAAGAGCAACTTTGATGTCATGCCTCAGATGCAACACTATGGTTGCATTGTTGACATGCTTAGCCGCAGAGGATACTTGAAAGAAGCCTATGAATTTATAGTAGGGATGCCAGTTGAACCTGATGCCGTCTTGTGGAGGAGTTTGCTAAGTGCTTGCAAAGTTCATGGGGATGTTGCAATGGGCGAGAAGGTGGGGAAGAAGCTGCTCCACATACAGTCGGCACAGACTTGTGCAGATTTGACTCCAAAGAGTGAGGACTATGTAGCTTTGTCGAACATTTATGCTTATGCTGAAAGGTGGGAGGATGTGGAGATGGTAAGACAGGAAATGAAGGTTAAGGGAATTGAAAACAAAGCTGGTTATAGTTCAATTCAAACTTCTTCAAACCTTAGCAATCATGTCCTGGATGGATTGTAGTTTTGCAAGTCAGCGAAATATTGAGCTGGTAAAAAGACAACTATTCAGAGTGCCCACACACTCTTCATGATTCAGAAAAAGATTCAAAGTTGAACCTCGTATTTACTTTCAAATTTTTCAGTGGTTAGAGGACTTCTTATAGATAATGCAAAGAGCAAGTGTACTGTATGTAAAGTGCATTTTATTATATTTTATAAGCAATTGAGGGTATCAGATCTTATTTTGGCCCATCAGCCTACAAGCCTATCATTTAATAAAGGAAGTGAATCTATCCCTCCTGATCTAATCATACCGATCAGGAATTATTTTTTGGATTTGTAGAGATTTCAAATGATGATGAATATGAAATGTAAAGAAACAGAAACTCGAGCACACCACGACACAATGTAACTGCCAAGGAAAATTGATAATTGCAGTGGTTTATAATCTGTTCCATGCATGACATGACAAACTGGAATTGGTAAAAGTATCAATCAGTGTATAATCTGTTCCATAAGTAATGATGCAATACAATGGTTGTTGAAAGCATCCTTTAATAAAGTCCTTCCTCATGTAAAGAACACTCTGTTTGTAACTACTGCTCTCCATTGGAATGAGGACCAGAAGGATTTCCACCCCTAATCCGCTTCTGCAGATGCTCTAAGCTAGCTACTCGCTGTAGGGAAGGTGTTCGCCCCATCTTGTTCCCCACGGCATCTGCTGATGTAGCTGCAGAGTTCTGCTGCACATTTTCAACTGAAGGGATGTCTGCAGAATGATGCTTGACTCTCAGGTCATGAGTGGGTGTAGGGTTATCAGAAGCAGGTTGGAAAAAGTGATGATTTGGGTCATGTTGCACTGGGACAGCAGCATCTGTTGATGTCTCTGAAGGGCTTCCATCAAATGGTGGCATGCCAGTGGAGGAAATCTCTGACATGGCATGGAACATGTTCAACCCAGTAATTCTTTTCACTGTCTCCTCAGCCATCTTTACCTGGAATTATAGCGGACGAAATAACAAAATTATATCAATTTTTTTGCTTCATCTTGAACCAATACTTGTGTCTTTTCTCCAAAGAAAGAAAAACTGGTAATCATTATCAGTGGGTTTTGATCCTCATCTTGCAATTCTAAGAGCCTGCCTAAGAAAACAGTTAGCAAGCGGTACTGATAACAAGCTTACCTTTGCTCTCAATGTTTCAATATCAGCTTTTAAAACTCTATTGTCAACAGCTGCTTCATTGTACTTTCGGTCTGCATCAGTCAGACGCTTCAATAGAGAGGAGTTCTCAACTTTTAATTGAGATGCCTATAAAGAACATTGGGTTAGGAAATCTATAGAAGATCAAAGGACCAAAAAAAGAAATGTAAAAACAAGTGACTAAAAGAGGTGGCAAGTGAAATCGGAAGCCAAAAAATAAATAAACAAAGAAGGACCAAACCTGTGCCTCAAGCTCACTCAAATGCGCCTGCTTTCTTCTTCTTGAGCGTCTAGCTGACTCTCTATTAGAGAGCATTCTGGAAAAGACCAGATGATTTAGTGGAAGAGAAAGGAACCAAATGAGTTTGAAGCAAATGAACTCATTAATCAAGAGATGGAGATTAGATGTGCTTATTTTAGGTCTCACGTGAACAAATTTGTGCTTTAAATAATTGAGTTTTTGTACACCTATCATGTAATGCGTCATAATCATTTTTACAATCAGAAAAGCAGATACCATTGTTACCTCCTCACACGTTTCACATCAGCAGGGTCCATATTCTCAGTCATTGCAGTTTCTCCTTCAATGTCCTCATCATCTGACAGTTCTCTTGATGATCCACTAGTTGCTTGCCTTACAGGAACCGCAGATCTATGTTGTGTTGCAGGTAATGAAGGAATGCCAACCGGTGCATTAGCATTCTTATCATGCGGCCTGGATAAATCATACCCAGCTCCTACATAGGTAATAGGAAAAAGAGTGATATTCTAAGTGCATAACTCTTCACTTATCATGACATACTCAGCTCCTTAGGTACTCAGTGGAACAGCTTTATCTCACAGAAAAGCAGAAAGAACATGATCAAATGACCTACTATATGAGACTTGTGATTCAAATAACTAAATACATAAAAAGAGAGATGCAAACCTTTAGAAGGGGCTTGAGATCCCAAATGTGAAGTATTGGAAGCCTGTGATCCACTGCCAGCTAAAGCAGCAGAATCTTGACTGTCCGCCAAAGATCCCTATTCACACGACCAGAATAGATCAGCTAGCGTTTATCTATACAGATTTAAAAAAAAAACATGGTTTCAAATCTATTTCAACCAAAGATGAAGCAAAAAGTATAAATCATATTCTGACAAAGAATGGTATAAATCATATATGCTGACAAATATGAGACTGGATTACACATTTATCATTCAAAGGCCAGCATGCCTTGCTAAGTATGTGAAGTTACTCTCTCATGTCACTCTGAACAGATTGCTCTCTCATCCTTCAGAGCCAAAGTCATCGCTAACATGCTGCATAATCCGAAAGTCCTTTACAGTTCAGCTGAACAGATTCCTTACGATTCCATTTAATCAGATGAACCAGATGAAGGCTTTTAATTTGCTAAGGCATGCTACTATAACTATCCCATTGGGCAAAGACATTGATCTAATAATGTTGACTCAGGCTTCAAGCGTTTGAAGAGAGTACATGATTTTTGAATCCCTACTACAGATAGTCCCTTGGGCAAATACATTCGCATCCATTCAATCTCACTCGGACTTCAAAACCATGCTCCGGTGCTTACATGGCTTTAGTTTAACTCAATAGAGAAATGAGGGTCAAAAGAGAATTCTCAGGTAGGAAGAATGATATATTATGAGATGAAGAACCTGGTCACACTGCAACTTTTGGGACTTTAAGTTTTATGTTTGAGAAAAGCATAAAGAACCGGAGCATGGTTTTGAATTCTACTTTATACTTGTTTGAGTAAGTTTTATACTTTGTGTGGATGCCTTGCCTTGCTTGGGTCGATCTTTAAACAAACAAAGTACTACTACTCTTCTCATACATAATTCATGTCTTTGTGTTTAGGCTGTAGCCTGCTTTTTCTTCCAAACAATTCATCCTTTTATTGCAGAAGTTACTTTTACTATTACCATGAAGGTCCCACAAAACCACAACAAAAGAAAGGTTCAACTTCCAAGTTAAAGTATTCTTTTTGACCTTTACATGTTGGGTCAGTTCAAACGATATTCAAGCTTATCAAACAATTTCACCGTCTGTTTTACCCAGGGAATGAGTGAGAAAATGCAAACCAACCAATCAGTTATAAACTTTATCACTCTGTTTGGATACCGAGAAAATGCTAGAAGAACAAATAAAAAAGGAATTTGAATTTTGCATTTTTCAGTAATTAATCAAATTTTGCATTTTTCAGTAATTAATCAAAACCCAATAATTTTTTAAAAATATATACAGTAAGAAAATCTTACTTGAGGCTAACCAAACTATAAAGCAGCTAACTTGAGCTAAACTTTACACTCACAGACAAAACCAAATTCAAGAAATTTCCAAGTTCCAGTTCAGTTTCTTTCCTTTAGCTTTCTGACCTGAGCATCCAAATAGGATCTCATTCTCAAACCACTGATTTGACTTCGATCATATTTCTCGGCAACCGAACGAAGATAAAAAAAAATGACAAGAGGGAGAAAAAAAAAACACGAACCTTCACGCGAGACAAGGCCACAGCAGCGCAGGCGAGATTGAGCTTGGTCTTGAGAAACGCCTGGTACTCTTCGGAATCAACGGGAACATTAGGTGGTTGCAGGCTAAACGACGGCGTATTGTTGCTATTATAGTTGTTGCTGTTGTTGTTGTTGTTGTTGTTGTTGTTGTTAGGGGCGTGAGTGGGAGCGGGAGCGGGATTGGGGTGGTGGGCATTGATCATCTTGATCTCTGCGACGTCGTTGTGGTCATGGTGAGTTGAAGAAGAAGAAGAACAAGGAGGTGGAGGTGGAGGTGGCTGTGGTGGTGAGGGTGATGGTGAGTAGGGAGAGGCTTCTTGGAGAAACCGCTGGAAGGCCCACTCCGATGCGCTCCGGTTCATTTTGGACAAATCGTCGTCTGCTTCATTGACTGGTGGTGCTGAAGAAGACCACAGCTGGTCAGACATTTCCTCCACTGAGAACATCCTATCCATCCCTCTCTCCCTCTGTTTTCCCCCTTTCTCTGTTTCTCTGTCCCATTGTCTCTTTGGGTCTTTATCGGCATTTTTTTGGTCTCCTTGGGTGTTTATCGGCATTTGCTTGGGTCAAGGATTTTAGCTTATTTGGATCCTTCAAATTAGAAACGTTTTTTCTTTTTTGTGTGTGTGGATATTAATTACTATCATTTTGGTTTTTAGTGTGAATATTATTATTATTATTTATTAATTAATTACTAATGGCAGTGTTGTATTATGCTTGCTGAGTTGGAGATTCTCTGTATTGGTTATGGCAATGTGGATGATTATATTCTGTGGGGTCCTTAAAATTACAAATTTATTTGAAATCTTTTCTGGATAGGGTTGTGGTCTTGTGGGGGTGGGGGGGAGAGATGCTAGATTTAGTGCTTGGCCTAACTTAGGGATTAGTTTCTTTTTCTTCCCATTAATGGTTATTTTATAATTTAGTTTTTTTGATAAACTATAAGTTTATAACTTGGGTTACCCACCTAATGTTTCTAATTCAATGAAAGTGGACATAGTGCCCAGAAAAAAGAAAATTGATAATCTCAAATTTATTATATAATTATGGCGCGTGATAAATAATGAATACGTTAATAACTCTTCTTAATTACTTAAGAGTCAAACTAATATTAAGTACGTGAATAATTCTTCTTAATCACTTAAGCTAAAAATTCCTTATGAATAATTTATCTTATTTGTTTCTTTGTCTTTTATAATACGTATCATATTTTGCTTTGATTTCTTTTATCTGAAGGGAACCTCAAAGGGCTCGTTGTTCTTTGTGTTGATAGGAAGAGACGACTTCTTGTTGCTCCAAATCCGCACCACATCACACTCAACGAAAAAGTTCCAAAACAAACGATCCATGAAAGAAGAAGGAAATGATTGAAAAGAAGCAAATGAGGCTTTTCTAAAACCCGGATGGACATGGCCGCTCATTTGTGGATAAACACTCATTTCCCCCCCACACACATTTTGGTGGGCCATGTAGCTGTGGGGTCCGTCGTGTTCTCTCTTTTACGCTAAGCCACCTAAACTTCCATTTGTCCCTTCCTCTTGGTGCTTCTACCACCACAATTTTCTCCGGGGTCCTCTAATGAAAAATAATAAAAATTAAATAAATGCGGGGCCTTTCACCTGTGCTTTTTCTAGAAATAATGTTATATTAATAATTTAATATATGTCTCAAATTATTATGTATTTTATGAGGGCGGTCAATTTTTAGAGTGATTATAACATAATACGGTAGTACATCTTGTACACGTGTGTATATTATAACACATATATAAAATATATAACATAACTGTACTACTGTAGTATTCTATAATTCTCGAATATTTGGTCTTAGTTTTTCTATACATTGATTGAAATAAAAGGAAATCGTGTGAAAATTTGATGTCGTGGATTAGAAATAAAATAATTTGGTTGGTTTCCAAGCTTATCCATTCTCGATGATTGTTTAGTTAAACTTCAAATCTTACCTTGGTTTTGGTTAGCGTGACTAGAGTGGTTAAGGAAGGTCGTGCAAAGAAAACCATTATTTGGGTTTTAATGACACATTGGATTTGAAGTTTGATATGATATGAGGTTTACGTACAATGTCAACAAAAAACGTCATAGAATAGAAAGATATGATATGGTTTTGTAATCAAATGTTATAGATCACTTATTATAATATTTTTTCAATAACCGCGAGAGTCATATAAGTCAAATTATACGACATGTCGCAAAAAGTCTATCACTACTGGACTATTATAAGAGAATGGCCCAATGCGTATTCAATTTCAAACCCAGGACACGCGGCCGAGTCCAGGGTCAATAGGCAATTAAGCAAACAGGTCCAGTCCACTAAAACAAAAGCGAAACGACATCGTATCAAGCAGAAAGGAGTGTGTCCTATCCAAAAGGGGAGCCTGATCGCACAAATCCCAAAACCTTAAACGAAACTGAGCAGATCTGAGAAAATGAAAGATGAGACACAGAGAGGGAAGAAGATCCCCTCAGAACGAAGCCTCAGATCTATGCCAACATGAAGAAAGGCGACGAGGCAAGAAAAGCTCCTCCAATCCGATTCTTGTTTTGCGAGGTTTAACGCCTCGATGGCCGCCATGGTTCAAGAACTTACAGTTGAAATCGCGCAGTAATTAACACCGACACCAGAGATCTGATGGGCCAAGATATGGGGGTTCCAGGACCCGTCAAAGTTGATTTTGAAATTTAGGGTTCACTTAGGCTATGGATCGAGATCATTGACTTTGATTTGATGGAGCTATAGGGCTGAGGCATTGTCAGTCTTTAATTCAATGCATTAATGCGTTTGCTGTTTGCTTCCATTTCAGTTACACTCCATGGCAGCTTGCTCAAGATGTGATGTGGATTGATAGAGGCACTGACAGCGGGTCTTCCATATCTTTTAAGGTTTTACTCCTTGCTCATTCAAGCATGTAGATGTCTTTTCTTTTGTTAATTATTTTTTTGTTGTTGTTGTTTTAAGCGGATACAAAATGAACAAAAATAAGTTTTCAGGGGCAAATAGCTTTGTATTGTTGAAAACGTGAACAATACATCTGACAAAAATAAAATTGGCACACACGAATTATCGAATGGGTGAGCTTTGAAATAGCATATTTTTGTTGAATAATGTATCAGCTAGAGGCTTGATATTGGGGAGTGGGGATGGTATCTTACATATAGAATCAGGAACATTGTGTCATTACATCATTGATACACAGTTGTGTGGTGAATTTAAAAGTAATCATTTGTAGCAAAACCGGATGCTCTAATAAGCACCATAACTTTTATATTCGACCACTTGATATTTAGATGATGGTGCTTCTCTAACTTTGAATGTAACATGAAGTGAAAGACATTAGAACGTGAAAAATCATAAATGGGTTAGTGCATTATTCAAACTCACTGTTATAGGCAATGTCAGCCTTAACTTTTCAAGTTAGGATGAGAATGGAGAGGAGTCTCTGAAGTTCTCCATATTTTCTTTTGCGTCTATACACCCAAGCAATGTTTATGGGTTATTAGCGTGGAAATAAAATTTGGTGGAGTAAATTTCACGGTGCTAAAATTTATCTGGCCACATTGTCAAATATATACGGAGGATAGATTGGCAGTTATAATTTTAGGAAGTGTTTCGGGTTTCTATACTCGTTTACTAGTAGAAGAGAAGTCTACTCTCTCTCTCTCTCTCCGTGTTCTGTTATATTTCCTAGTTGGTACACATCAATCTTAATTGGATATAGTATCTCATCATAACTGTGTATCATTCATTTTTTATTATCTATTGACATTTACCTTTGGATTGGGTAAAAGAAGGAAGATATAATAATTTATGTTTTATTTTTATTTCTGTGTATTAGCATTTATTCATTTTGGTAGTTCATTTTTGTTTAAAATGAAAGTTATGAATATACCAATGTAGTAATAGAGTATTTTAAAATGTTTCTTCAGTATGTTGTGCTCTGGTTTGTGATCATTAACATTCGGTGGTTATCCTTATCCTACACGAAATGTTCTTCCTATAAGTTGCAACTTCTTGCATTTAAAATAAAAGAACCTGTTGTTCTATGTTCCTTTTTGGTTATTGACATAACGAACATTACTTCCTAAGATTCCCATTTGTTGCATTTTAACTCTTCGTCCAAAGAGTTTGCCCACTTCTTGAAGACATTATTCGTTTCTGAAAAGCCAGCTGGAGTCTGTTACTGTTAGCCTTTTATTTTGTAGGTAATTTTTGAGGATTAATGTTTCTTCGAGAGACATGCAAGAATTTTCATGATGTTTTTTGTTAGTTTGTTTGTTGGCGTGACACTTTTCTTATGTTTGTTTGCTGTGTTGTACACTTGCACATTCATTATATTCCTGAGTTATGTGCTTCGGTTCAACTACCATCTGGTTTATTTCAGTGTTATTTCAATTGTTATTAATTCTGATGGTTATAATTTATTAATTGTTTTAACTGTTTTTTTCCCCAGGATATCTGAAACCAGAAGCTAGCAGGACTTCGCCTCAAACTTCATTTTGTTTTTTTTTGTTTTTTGTTTTGACTAATTTGATCTCATTTCGATCAAAAGAAGTCTAATATATAATTTCTTTCCTTTTTTTGGGTAAAAATAAATTCTTTTATTTTAGTGCCGCGGATTGTAATTAGGCTGCATTGTAATTATTCTTTGTATGCATGGTTTTCTTTTTCTTCTGTGAGCCGCTCGGAAATAAAATAGGCCCTAAGATTTGCTGGGCTCGTTGATATTTTTGGGCCTCCAGCCTACATGCGGGCGGCGAAATTCTATAGCGAGGGTGTTATATATGGACTTTTCATATGAATTTTCATATTAGCCACAACATCATTTCATTAAAATTTAGTGAAGTTACTATTCAGATGAATCTTGTGGCTAATATAAAGGTCCACATATATTATATATGACACTCACCATAGAACAACTCCAATATTTGGTTCACTATTGAAGTGGGCTCTGTAATTTTCTGCCCACGAAATCATGGTGGCTCCAAACAGTTACCATATAAGTAGTTTGGCCCACTGTCTGGCCTGTTTTCACGTTATTGGACCGATGCTTGGGCCTGCTTCGCCGTAGTTTAAGTCGGAATTTAAGCCTGTTTTACGTTTTGCCGGCTAGATTTGGGCCTGTATTAAAGTAATTGGACGTGCTTAAGGGCCCGCTTTCACATCCAGGGCCTCCGTCTGGACCAGTTATCATGTTATTGGGCGGAATATTGGGCCGTTTTTGGCGCATGTCCTCTAGTTGTTCGGCCAATGTTTGGGCCTATTTTCACGTTATTGGACCTATGTTTGGGCCTTGTAAACGTAGTTGGGCCGCCGCCTTAGGTCCAGTTTTAACTTTATTGGGCCTTTGTTTGTGTTTCCTTTTATGGGCCATTTTAACGTTATTGGGCCGATATTTGAGCCAGTTAAAAGGGATTGGCCCGGTCAAATAGTCCAGTTTTTTGGGCATGTCCTCAAGTTGTTGGGCCAATTTTTGGGCCTATTTTCACGTTATCGGACTGACGTTTGGGCCTTTTAAACGTAGTTGGCATCCTTCCGGCCCAGTTTTAACTTTTTGGGCCTCCGTTTGGGCCTGTTTTCCTTTTATGGGCCAATTTTAACGTTATTGGGTCTATATTTGGCCCAGTTAAAAGTTATTGGGCCCGTCCATGGTCTAGTTTCACGTTATTGTGCTGACCGTTGGGCCTGTTTTCACCGCATTGGGCCTTCTTTCATATTATTGGTTCGCTATCTGGGCCCGATTTCACATTATTGGGTCGACTTTTGCGCCTGTTTCCAGATTATTTGATCACGTTCTGAGCCTTTTTTAACGTTGTTGGGCAGGCCTTTGTGGTCGTTTCCCATTAATGGGCCTACGTTTGGCCTCATTTTCTCGTTACTGTCCCTTTTAACATTATTTGGCACGGAAAGGCTATAATAATGACTTAAAGTGAGGAGGTTATTTGAGGAGGTCAAATCTCACCATCAACAAATGTAAAGAAATCATGGGACTTAAATATTTTAAATGTTTTGACGGTCGGATCGATCTCCTCAAATAACCTCCTCACTTTAACTCATCGTTGTAGAAGCTCCCTTATTTGGTAACCATTTGGGCAGACATCCTGGCCAGTGATTACGTTATTGGGCCTAGATCTGGGCCGTTTTAAATTCATTGAACTTTATTAAGAGATAGGACCTCACCTAAGGCCATATATAATGTCCTCACTATAGAATGAGTCGGCTATGTTGAGGGTTTACAATGAGGAGGTCATATCTAACAATCCAATAATAACCCCGCACTGAATCGAACGGCTATTACCCGCTCATAATAACCCCTCATTCTAGCCAAGTCATTCTATAGTGAGTGCCTTATATATAGCCCTTAAGTGAGGTCCTATCTCTTAACCGTTAGATTAAGCTAACTAATTTGATCCAACGATTAAGAGATAGAGGCTCACCTAAGAGTAGAGGTGTCAAACGGGCCGTGCCGTGCCGGCCCATCCCATTTAAACTCGTGCTTTTAACGTTTTCGTGTCGGGCCGGGCCAGCCCATTTAATTTATCGGGCCGTGCCGTGCCGGCCCATTTAGTAAAATTATTGATCCCGGCCCCGCCCAAAGCCCATGTCCCCACTGAAACCGGCCGGGGCGGGCCCCGCGCCCGCC